TCTCCTTAAAATATTTTCACAGTAATAATCTTAGGGGAAAGTTGGCTAGTCATACCGACGGTTAAATCGTACCTCTATTGTATTTTCTAAACGAATTTTCTAAACGACATTTTTTTTTTAAAGGTAATGACACTGTTGTGACGCTATTAATATAGGTTAAGAACTATCATTTTTGTTTTGTCTTCGAGTCGTCTGTTTACGAGTGACATTCAAAATTGATTTTGTTCGGTGTCTGATCTAAGTTTTGATACAATTTACCTAAGGTGTTATGAGTACAAGGTGGGTAATTGAATTATAGTGTCCTACAGGGTTATAATTGATATTTAAACTCTCTTCGAGTATAGCATCAAATTAGCAAAATATTTGTAAGTTATGTTGCTATTGGCGAATTTGTAAAAATAGAGGGAGTTGGGTAAATTGTACTTGTCGCTAGTCTTTATATTGTACCGGTACGATTTTCGCAAGTGACGCGAGCAATATGTGGAGGTTACTATTATGATAAAAAAGGATCTACAGTGGACTGGATTCAGTGTGTCAAGTGCTCTAAGTGGTTGCACGAAACCTGTAGTGACAATCCTGACATTTGTCAAAACTGTTTAAATAAGCGCTCAAGAAAGTGATTACTTATCAACTATTGAGTCTTTCTATTAAATTTTTCTATTGAGTCTTTCTATTGAGTCTTTCTATTGAATCTTTTCTATTGTGACAGAAAAATCCGTAATTGATTTTATTTCCAAAATTTATTTTTTCAAAAAATATATATATATATATCTGAGATTTTAATATTCTGAAATATAGTGCAAGGATAGCTTAAATCAATTTAAGTATTGATTTTTACTTTGTTTTCTTAAATGAGTTTAAAAAATACAGAGTTTAATTTCTGTTTTTATAATAGAAAAATTTTTATTATACCTACTAAAATATGTATACTCAGTTTGATACTAAAAATAAATTTATTAATAAATGAGTTTTAAAATTAATTTTGTTTATTTTCCTAGTAAACAAACTGACGTTATTTACCGTCATTTTGACGTTAAAGATGTTATTTTAATGTCAAAATGACAATAAGCAATGTCAAAAATTAATTTTGTTTATTTTCCCAGTAAACAAACTGACGTTATTTACTGTCATTTTGATATTAAAGATGTTATTTTAATGTCGAAATAACAATAAGCAATGTCAGCTTGTTTGTTATATTAGAAGTACGATTTAGGAAACAGGTGGTACAATTAATTAATGACCTGATCTCCAAATTGTACTGAAAGCTACTTTTTTAAAAATCTAATTTAAACCATAATTTAATGTTTATTTTCGCAAAAGTATCGTTTTATTTTATTGCCAATGAACCAAAGTTTAATATAAGTACAGAAATATTCTGATATCTTCAGTACTTTTGTTTACAATTTTATTTAAACGTTAGGGGGTAC